AGTACCTTGACCCTAGGAGGTAAACATCTGAAAACAGAGTCAGTAAGTATATTTGAAGACAAATTCAAAATAACTATACTCTCAACCCAAGGGCAGTTTTCCTCATGTCTGGGAGATTCCAAAGTATTCCAGCTAACGTCCAGTATTTCCAAAGATGGCATTTCCTTAGTCATGAGACCTACTTTGTAAAAGTCTTTTAATGCATTCTTTTGTAAGATAAGTGTCTCCAATCTAACTAAAGTAGAACATTTTTGAAAAATACTATCTGTGAGAACATTTCGGGTAAAGTTCAAAAACTTAAATGTGCTTGGTGCCTGAGGACAAAGCATGTGTACAAAAGATGAGTCTGATATGGTTAACATGATAATGTTCATCTCAGAAAACACCGTGTATAATGCCGTCTGTGAAAAAAGAAAAACTTGGTTCGTAACATGTTCTATTTTCAATGCTTTCAATGCTGTTTTAGAATAAGTAAATTTTTCTTCACGAATGTCTTCAACTATTGTTAAATTGTAAATACTGAGAAATTCCACAGGTTTGGGCCAAAGGAATTGAAAAACCCCAACCAAGCATTTCCAAGTTGTTTCCACATTGTTGAGGGTAAAATTCAGTAAAGCTGGACCTCTAGTGAGTTCTGATAAAAATGTAATTAAAACTTGACAGTTCTTATCATTTAGTTTAATATTAGTCAGTTGTAAGCACCCTAAGGTATTAACTGATATGTTCACTTGGACAGAGAATAATCTATTTGGATGAAAAACAAAGTGAAGTGTTTTCGTATTCAGAATTTGAAGGCTTTCTGTCTCATTTTCTTTTACATAATAACCTCCTAAATCCAGAAGGATGTAACTTAGATGCAAGTGAGAAATAGGTAGCAGATCTAATTGTTGTAACTTCATAGCACTTAATCCCAAGAAATTTAGTTGGGTCAAGTTGCCAAATTCCTTACAGATGGGCAGGGCATCGAAGTCATTGAATGAGAGGTCTAAATGCTTGAAACTCACAACAGGGTGGCAGGACACTTTTCGCAATTGATTGTGAGATAAATCCAAATATTCCAAATCCTGGTTGAACTTGAAAACACTAAAATCAAGTTGCTGGATTCTATTATGGGAAAGTCTCAAAACTTTCAGTCTTGACAGAAAGCTGATATCAGATAACTGAAGCTCAGATATATAGTTTTGAGACATATCTAAGATTTCGGTTTTTGGTGGTAGGTCTTTCGGAACATGAACAAGGCCTAATTTTGACATATATACTACAAATTCACTTTCATCAGAGAACTGGATTATGGTTCCAACTATTATGATCATGATGCCAATAAAACGAAAGTTTCTGGCAATAGGTTGTATGTCTTGGATCATGATGTTGCAGTGGCTATCCTGAAAGGTTGTAGTTGTTCTCCAGAGCATCTCAATATGAGTCCAAATTCTAGAAATATAATTTACATTAAGATGAATAAAGATTGGATGATTTCTCTCAAACCTCCACTTACTAAACATAAAATCCCAATGATTTCTTCATTCACTATCACAGTCATTTCTATCCTTGTAAATTAATATGATATTTTCCCCAGTTATACAGCTTGCTGGTACCAGAAGAGCAACACAGACCTTGTTATCAGAGAATTGTGGTTGTGGCTTGACCTGTCTGGTGGATCCCTGAAGCATCCTCTCAGGGGGCTTGCCTTTGTTTCATACACCTCAGAACCCTATCAGGGCTGGAGCAGCCTCCTTTGTTGACAACATTTAAAGACAAATATACTAGCTGCCATCACCAGGGACAAGAAATAACAGATGGGACAAGTAGCAGACTCACCAAGACATCAGGGAAGGAAGAGGCTAAGAAAGGAGATACATGGCGGTGGGGGGGGAAGGTTTTGGAAAGCTTCATATATACTAGGGAATCTGGAAGACCACACACATGCCTAGGGCTGGACACATGCTCAGAGGAGACCTGAGAAAATCCTAAACTTCCACCTCTAAAGGCTGACCTTTAGGCTCCATGCAAGCAGAAAATGAAGGCTAAGACAGAGTTGTGAACAGCGTAGAAAAGCATTGAAGAAGAGCTCCAACACAGAGCCAATCTGCAAATATCAGGAGACTTTTGGTTTTTGTTTTTAATATTTTATTTTGTTTTTGTTTTTGTTCCAGATGTTTAAGAAAATCTCAAGTCACTAGCTGACCACTTAGCTAACAGAACAGAGAATTCAGTGGCCATGCATAACAAAGAATACAGTCTTTATAAAAATGGTTTTAAATGTCACTAAACAAATGACTACAACCCACAACAAACAGCAATAACAAGCCCTGGGGAAGTGGAAGAATCTGATTTTCAGAGTTATCCTATTATAATAGTCAAAATGTCTGGATTTATTTATTTATTTTATTATTTTTTTTTATTGTATTTGTTTATCAGATAAAACTTGTTGTTTCAATACACGCATATATTGTATAATGATCTAATCAGAATATTTAGTATACCTGTCACCTAAATGTTTATCATTTCTTTGAGGTTATAACATTCATAATCCTATAAAATTGTTGTCTTAAAACAAACAAACAAAAAAAAATTATTAGCCATGCCAAAAAACAAGAAAGTATTGCCCATTCACTGGAAAAAAAGAAAAAGAAATAAAAAGAACAAAGTCAGAGAACTGACACTATCC